AAAAACAAACCAAAATTCACTAAATTAGCCCAAAAACGGTGTCATTTTTGCCTTTTTTGCGTGTTTAAACACATTTTTAGATAACAAAATATTTTTTTCGACAAATTTCGTTATAAAACACTAAAAAACTAAAATCATCGAAATTTATGTTGATTCATTTATTTCACTCGATTTAATCGGTTTTTGAGCAAAATTTCGTCAAAAATAAGTCAAAAAAACACAAAATTTCGTCAAACATATTTTAATTTTTACGTTTTCTAAGCTCGAAACACGTTTTTTAAACTAAAATCTGAAGTTTTTGTGGAAATTGCCTTTTTAAGCATCTTGAACATTTTTTAGTCAAAAAAATCAATTGTTTTGACAATTTTTTTCAAAAATAAGTCAAACAATCACCAAATTAATTAAAAATAGTTTTAATTGCTTTCTTTTTTTACGAGATTTTTCTAAACAGAGTTAAAAAAATCGCTAAATTGGGTCCGAACGTAATATATTTTTGCCATTTTTGGATATTTTTAGCACATTTTTCAACTAGAAACATAATTATTTCGCAGAATTTTTGTTAAAAACAAACCAAAATTCACAAAATTAAGCTAAAAATGGTGTTATTTTTGTGTTTTTTTTTAGCGTAAGTACATTTTTAGATAACAAAATATTTTTCCGACAAATTTCGTTATAAAACTGGCTTAAGAATTACCAAATAACATCGAAATTTATATTATTTTAGTTTGCTATGATCAAATTAGTTCTTTTTGAAGCAAAAATTCATTTATTTTGCAAAAATTCCAAAAATCATCAAAATTTTCACTCGATTTTTGAGCAAAATTTAATCAAAAATATGTCAAAAACAGAAAATCTGGTAAAAATATTGTTATTTTTACATTTTTTAAGCTTTACATTTTTGTCTTCTTCAAGATTTTTGTACGTTTTTTATTCAGAAACGTCTATTATTTTCACAAATTTTCTTAAAAATAAGTCAAAAACACCAAATTAATTAAAAATAGTTTTGTTTACGAGATTTTACTAAACACAGTCAAAAAATCGCTAAACTAGGTCCAAACGTAATATATTTTACCATTTTTGAATATTTTTAGCACATTTTTTGACTAAAAACGTGAAAAAATTAATATTAATTTTAAAATTAATTTTCACTGAAAAAATTTATTTACCTGATTGTGGGGGAAGGCGTAATTCTGGATGTAGAGCAGAGTCGCCCACCAGTAATTTTGGCAATCCTGCTGAAACATTTCTGAAACGATGGGCCAAAAGGGCCCTTTCCCCACATACGTGATCAAAGTCGCTGTAAACAGCACAATCATGGCCARAGACGGTGTTAATCTAGCGATTTTTATTGCAAAATTACTGAAATTGGCTGAAAAAAATTACCGCAAAATCCGGTGCAAGTAGAACATCGGTACTGAAAATTTCACCCCTTTAGCGTCACTTTTCATGAAAAGATAGACAAGTAAAAGGCCACTAATAAGAAAAAATGTGTCCACTGCCACCGAACATGAGACCAATAAAGCATTGGCTTTGAAATTTTTCCACTGAAAATTTTTTTCATAAATGAATTAACAATTTTCATAAATACAAACCTCTTCCATCTCTAGGGAGTTAATCACCGGGACGTAAAACGCGTACTGAAAACTGTGTCCAAGCACAATCCACATCAAACTAACGACTCGTAAACCATTCAAACAGTCCAAATTTCCTTCAGAAGTTTTCGCTGAAAATAATTTTTTCCCATTTGTCAGCACTGAAAACGCAATGTGAAYGTTGGGTTCCTTATTTTCGACRTACTGATAAACGAAGAAATCGTACAAAGTGCTGATAACAACAATAATTGCAAAAAACGAAAAAATCACACTGAAAAAAAAAAACTGAAAAAATATTTCAGTGAATTTTTTTTTACATTGCCACAATTGCCGCCCCCGTGAGTGGTTTTCCCTCCCCATCATCGCAAAAATCCCCCACGAAAATGAAATGCAAGGGCGATTTCAGCTGATTTTCAAGAACGTTGCTCACATTTTGTAGATTTTTCACACTGCAAGCTTCAGGGACACACAAACCGACTGAAAACCGCCCCTGAATGTACAATTCGGCCTCCTGGTCCTCCCGCGCGGTTTCAGCCTGAAAAAACCCGTAAAAATCCGGTTTTTGGGTCGAAATTTTACCAGAAATTGTGAAAAAAAATCCTTCAGTTGTTGCGACGCGAATTCCTCGTGGGGCTGAAACAAAGTCGTGCAATATTTTCCCTTCACTTCGTGKATTTTCAGGCATTCGTCGTAGTTTCCCACATGCATGATGTTTCCGGTTAAAATTCCGGTTTGGGGCTTTGCGCTCGCGTCCAACACTGTTTTSAATTAGTTTTTCAGGCTTTTTCAGGCTTGATACTCACTTTTTTGGGCCCAAGTTTCGTTCCGAAKGCCTGAAAAAAGGCGCAAAAGTTGTGAATTGCATTCATTGTTGTCGAAATTTGACAAGAATTCGAAGAAATTTTGAGGGTCAAATGTGGAGAAAAAGTCAAAATCGGGGACGAATTGGGCGTTTATTGGGTTTAGGAAAACCCAAAGTGTTAACAACTTTAACATCGTGATGAAAAGTGAAATTTGCACCGTGATTGTGGGATTTTGTTTGAAAAA